ATTCTATTCTATTCTATTCTTATTCCATTCTGTAATTCTATTCTATTCTTCTTCCATTCTATTCCATTCTGTAATTCTATTCTATTTTATTCTATTGTATTCCATTCCATTCCATTCTTATTCCATTCTATTCTTATTCCATTCTGTAATTCTATTCTGTTCTGTTCCATTCTATTGTCTGTTCTGTTCTATTCTGTTCTATTCCACTCCATATTTTCTATTCTATTCTATTCTATTCTATTCTATTCTATTCTATTCTATTCTATCCTTATTCCATTCTTATTCCATTCTATTCCATTCTGTAATTCTATTCTATTCTGTTCCATTCTATTGTCTGTTCTGTTCTATTCTGTTCCATTCCATTCCATATTTTCTATTCTATTCTATTCTATTCTATTCTATTCTATTCTATTCTATTCTATTCTATTCTATTCTATTCTATTCTAATCCAATCCAATCCAATCCAATCCACACAGACATCAGTTTACAAGGGCCGGCCGGTGGTGGCTTCGCGTACCGGGTCGATGCTGGGCAGGTCGTTGAAGGAGAGGTCAATCCAGTAGATGTCCAGGGGATACTCCAGCAGCTTCTCCATGATGTCAGGGAAGTCCGTCAGGTCGCTGAGGGTGTTGTTGTTCAGCCGCACGGCCTGGGTCAGCAGGCGGCCCCCCTCCGAGCGCAGGATGGCTCTGAGGCCGGGACGAGGCTCCTCCGTCAGCAGGTCTGGGGGGGGGGGAAGCAAAGAGGGCAGAGGGAGGCGTCTGCTGTGCCAGGAGCCACCGGGCACCGTCCGGCAGCTGATGCCGCCTGCACAGGACCCACAGCTCTGGAGCATGTGCAGAGTGCACTCCCCACTGCTGGGCTAGAAGCCTACAGGGATTCTTTATCATCCAGGGTCACGGTTTCCCAAAGGTGGCCTTTCTTGGGTTTTTTCCCCTTGAAAACATTCTGCTTCTCATCCAGAAACTTCAGTTCAGAAGTTCAGAGCAGAAGCTTATTATTAAATTATTAACATCTTATTCTCTTATTTCTGTCTTATCCCTTGTGATATTCCAGCTCAGAAAAAGGACCTGGAAAATTCTCCTATCGCAAGTCTAACTAACCCTCGCTCTCCACATAGACGGGGGGGGGGGGGTCCCAGGGATTCAGGGGTGTCATTCTCAGGAAGGGGGTGTGTGCCAAATAAAAGATGGGTTGTGATCCGGGAGTACCATCCCTGCAGCTGTGCAGAAGGATAGTCTGGGGCAGGGGTAGGCAACCTCGGCTCTTTTATGACTCATGGACTTCAACTCCCAGAATTCCTGAGTCAGCACAGCTGAAGGCAGGACAAGAAGCAACGGATGGAAACTGACCAAGGGGAGAAGCAACCTGGAACTAAGAAGAAACTTCCTGACAGGGAGAACAATTAACCAGTGGAACCACCTGCCTCCAGAAGTGGTGAATGCTCCAACCCTGGAAGTTTTTAAGAAGAGACTGGACAGCCATTTGTCTGAAATGGTATAGGGCTTCCTGCCTGAGCAGGGGGTTGGACTAGAAGACCTCCAAGGTCCCTTCCAACTCTGTTATTCTATTCTATTCCATTCTATTCTATTCCATTCCATTTCATTCCATTCCATTCCATTCTAAAGGAGAAATTTCCTGACAGTGAAAACAATTAATCAGTGGAACAGCTTGCCACCAGAAATTGTGGGTGCCCCTACACTGGAGGTTTTTAAGAAGAGACTGGACAACCATTTATTTGAAATGGTATAGGGTTTCCTGCCTGAGCAGGGGGTTGGACTAGAAGACCTCGAAGGTCCCTTCCAACATTATTATTATTGTTATTATTATTGTTGTTGTTGTTGTTGTAGTAGTAGTAGTAGTAGTAGTAGTAGTAGTAGTAATAGTAGTAGTATAGAGCAGGTCAAAAAAAGCAATCATCCTTAAAAAGTTGCTTGATAATGAGATGGGAGCCACATAAATTTAATAAATAAACAAAAGTATAAAGTTAAAGAAACATGTGGCAGACGAGAGTTTGGATTAGCAAGGCAGCCAGCTCAGGATCTCCCTGGACTTTCTTTATTCCGATGGGGTTGACTTCAACCACTTGGCTGCCACTCAATGTCAAGGGAGATTCTCCATCATTCTCGGTCACAGCTGTCCCAAAGGTGCTTTTTTTCTCCCCCCCCTCCCCCCCCCCGAAAAGGCAACTGGACTTTCTTGGTTTTTTTCTTTGAAAATGTTTGATTTCTCCTCCAAGACGTTTCTTCAGTTCTGGAGTTTTTGCATGAGAAGCAAAATGTTTCCAAAGGGGAAAAAAACCACAAAAAAGTTGCCTTTTGAAAAAAAAAATCTTTGGGTTGATTATCCCTTGTTTAGAGAGAGACACAGAAGGATCTTCTCATTTGGCAAAATAGCAATGGATTTTGTTTTTAATTGTATTGATTTATTTATATGTACACATAACATATAAATATTTATATAAATATAATATAAAATATAAATAACCTTTATTATTTATACAAATAACTCAAGGCAGCAAACATCTTAAAACATACGTTCGTCCTCCTCTTTTCCCCATCACCACCACCCTGAGAGGGGGGCTGAGAGGGAGGGATCGGCCCAAAGTCACCCAGCCTAGTTTCATGCCTAAGGCGGAACTAGAACTCACCGTCTCCTGGTGATTGGCCCAAAATCACCCTGTTCTGTTTCATGCCTAAGGCAGGACTAGAACTCACCATCTCTTGGTGATTAGCCCAAAGTCAGCCAGCTGGCTTTCAGGCCTAAGGCGGGACCAGAACTCACAGCCTCCTGGTGATTGGACCAAAATCACCCAGCTGTCTTTCATGCCTAAGGCGGGACTAGAACTCCCCATCTCCTGGTGATTGGTCCAAAGTCACCCAGCTACCTTGAATGGCTGAGGTGGGACTAGAATTCTCTGTCTCCTGGTGATTGGCCTAGTCACCCAGCTGTCTTTCATGGTTGAGGCAGGACTAGAACTCACCATCATCTGGTGATTGGTCCAAGGTCACCAGTCGGCTTTCGTGGCTAAGGCGGGACTAGAACTCACCATCTCCTGGTGATTGGCCCAAAGTCACCCAGCCGGCTTTCATGCCTAAGGCGGGATTAGAACTCACCTTCTCCTGGTGATTGGCCTAGTCACCCAGCTATCTTTCATGCCTAAGGCGGGACTAGAACTCCCCATCTCCTGGTGATTGGCCCAAAGTCACCCAGCCGGCTTTTGTGCCTAAAGGCAGGACTAGAACTCACCGTCTCCTGGTGATTGGCCCAAAGTCACCCAGCTGTCTTTATTGGCTGAGGCGGGACTAGAACTCCCCGTCTCCTGGTGATTGGTCCAAGGTCACCCAGCTGTCTTTCATGGCTGAGGCGGGACTAGAACTCACCGTCTCCTGGTGATTGGCCCAAAGTCACCCAGCTCTCTATCATGCCTAAGGCGGGACTAGAACTCCCCATCTCCTGGTGATTGGCCTAGTCACCCAGCTGTCTTTCATGCCTAAGGCGGGACTAGAACTCACAATCTCCTGGTGATTGGCCCAAAGTCATACAGCTGGCGAAGGTGGGACTCACCGTCTTCTGGTTTCTAGCCTGCTGCCTGAACCGCTAGACCAGGGGTTCTGCAACCTTGACCGCTTTAAGACTTGTGGACTTCAGCTCCCAGAATTCCTCAGCCAGCTATGCTGGCTGAGGAATTCTGGGAGCTGAAGTCCACAAGTCTTAAAGCGGTCAAGGTTGCAGACCGCTGCGCTAGACCAAACTGGCTGTAACAACTCCGAGTTTGAGCCCCAACAACAACACATGGACCTTCTCTTAAAAGCGTCTCCTGCCTGCAACCTCGTTGGCAGCTTCTAATATCAAATATCAAAAGGCAGAAATAAAAACAGGCCCCAGGCCAGGGGACTCGTTTGTACCTTGCATGAAGCTGATGCCTCGGAAGGAGAAGTCCAGTGGTGGCGCCTGCAGGGAGGCCTTGGTGTAATTCCAGTGCACGCAGGTCTTTCCAGCTGTGCTGGCAAAACACAACGTCACACGCCCAGAGAGTCAAACACGGCTGAGGCAGGCAGGCTAGCTGCTGGGCTCGCTTCTCCAGGACCCCGTCCACACGTTCCACTTTGGGGAAGGGGATTCCAGCCAGGGGGAGGGGGCGACCCAGAGAATGGCCAAGCTCCGGGGAAGAGATGGGGCTATTGAAGCAAAAATGGGCATTGCACGAAACTTGCTGTGGCCATCTTGACTTTTCTAACCGCCTGCTGTGGACAGCCCCGTTCCAGCAGGACTCTATAAACCATAACTGACAAATCACCATGGAAGCTCAAATCGAGCCACAGTAGATCGGTGTGTGGCACGGCAACGGTCATCCTATTAAGCCATAGCCTGCTGCTTCGTGTGGGGTGGACATGACCCGTGTCTTGTGCAAAGGATATCTGCCGTGTTGAGCCGACAACCAGGAGCAGGTGTTGAACAGATGTGCCTGACGGCACCAATTTAGGGAAGTGATAAACCACCAAAAGGGTTGGAGCAGATCCCGGGGCATGCCTCAAGAGGTCTGGCCTGGTTGAGGAGGAGGAGGAGGAGGAGGAGGAGGAGGAGGAGGAGGAGGACTGCAGGGTCCTGGGTGCTCTCTGAGCT